CCTGTACATCAAGTGAGCAGTACAACTTTGACGAGTCAACTTTCTGTGGACCTGCCTTCCGGGTACTGAAACAACTAGTACAAAGATGCCTACAAGATGCAGTTATGTCAGGAAATGTTTATGCTGATGCAATATTACAACATCTTTATCGCTGGCTTTGTAGGTTGGTATATTTGATGTTTATAGAGATGTCCTGTTTGCTAAGTTCTGAAGTTGACATTAATCAGTAATTTTTGTTCTTATTTCAGCCCACGATCGAAACTTCACGATCCAGCTCTATATAGAATGCTTTGCAAGGTAAATGCATCACTGTACACATGACAGAACTGCTGCAAAAAATTGAATTATGTTTGTCAGATACTCCTCCTGCACAGAAATAATACTTACTAATCACAAACATGATTTTGGGATGTTTAGAAAAAAGCTCACATTTCCTAAAAATAGAAATATGTTTATCATAATCAAAACTTACTCAAATGGAGTAGTGAAGAGAATGGAAGGAAAATCATGCTATATAGGGAAATCTATAAAGATTGTAGTGCATTTTTTATCATTAGGAGGAGGAGGAGGGGGGGAAGGGGGGGGGGGGGGAGTCGATAATGTGACTATTAAGTTCTGATGGCAGGAGTAAATGCGATTGTTGAAATATACTCAGTGACTCCAATAATGTGAGGAGATGCCTACTTTGGCTACTTGGACCTTTTTTTTTTTCCCCCCTTTATTATTTGTGGTAAACTGTAGTAACCTTATCTTTTATTCGAAAATACAATACTGATATCAATTGATTCTACATATATAGGTTATGCAAAAGGTGTTTGCATTGCTTTTGGCAGAGTTTCGCAAATTGGGTGCTACAGTCATTTTTGCAAATTTTTCCAAGATTATATTAGACACCGGAAAAGCTGACTTAGCTGCAGCAAGGGCTTATTGTGATAGTTTGCTAAAAGCACTACAGACAAGGTGAGATGTCTGATAAGTATGCTTAATTATGCTATGAATTTCAGGTGATTAACTAGTTGCTTTCTTCAGGGACTTGTTTGAGTGGGTTGAGATTGAACCATTGCACTTCTGGCATTCCTTGCTTTTCATGGACCAGGTATGCTCCTCTCCAAAATATTTACTTTGTATACATCATAAGAACACCTCATTTTATATAAGTTTGTAGATTCTGATCTCATGCTTGAATTTGTGCTGCAGATTGTATTGTGTAACAGTGTGTTTGATTGAAATTTTTTGAGGAAAAGGAGAGTGATGAATTCATTTTTCCACACTAGACAGGAAATGGGAAGGATAGGGACTAACTTTCATTATCCTTCAATACTTGCAAGAATTTAACCAGCACAAAGTTTTATGCAATTTAATTGACTTTTTATTGTGTGGTAGTTGGTAGTAATATATAGTTAGTGGATTGTGGGTCAAAAACCTTTTTTTTTTTTTTTTTTTTTTTTTGGGGGGGGGGGGGGCGGGGTTTCATAATTTATGTTTTATTAGGAAAGTGGAAAGGCAGTTAGTCCAATGAAAGGAGTGAGAATCATTAAAAATAATAGTGTGTCCTAATTGTCTGTGAATATTGGAATTGTTGCAAGTAATGAAGGGCGGACCAATAAGGAAAAGTTTTGCAAGTTACAATTATTATAGGATGGAGGGAGGAGTAGTAGGGATTTAATTTTATTCTTCTTAAAAAAACTAGGTATATCTTATATTGGAAACATTTGAAAGAGCCCAATTCTTTTCTTCTCTATATTATTGCTAAGAAAACTCAAAAACTTGTGTATGGTGGTTTTCTCCGTAATTTGACTGGAGATTAAATCCCTAAGATTGGTTATTATGGATTCTATCAAATGCAGTATGTTTAAGCAAACTTTTCTTCTTTCAGAGTGTTAAATTTTTGTAACTTTTATGTAAAGATACATAATCTCACACTTTTGATTATTCTTATTGGGGTTGAATCTGCAAGATGATGGATTTGCATATTTAATGCACCTAAATATTAAAACACTTCAAGTGCGAGGATACTAATTTCCAACTCTCCTTCTATATGACAGTACAATTATGGAGGAATACAGGCCCAAGATCAGGATGAATCTTCTGCCAGCATTTCTGCATCCTCTAGCAGATGCTTACCTGGTGATCTTCAAGTAGACATTGTGTCCAGTTGGAATATTGCTGAACACTTGCCTAAAAGTACTCAAGTAAGCATTTTCCCTCTTAAACTTTTGTAGAAGAGAGAATTTGAAATATTGATCTTTGTCGATTCTAGGCAACATTATTTAATAATGGGAAAATCACAAGCTGATACTCTTAGAGTTAGAACTCTCAAAATTATTATGGCAAACCAGCAAGTCGAAATATATCTATCATGACCTCGAAAAAATCCTAGTGGACTAGACTGGGGTACCTGAATTACTGAATTTTACTACCATTAAATCACATTGGAAAAATATCTTTCATGCTGCATGATGGGTCAGTCTTAAATAGCTACACTATAGTTGAGCAATTTTTTTTTAAATAATGTTTTTATGTAAGCTTTCTTTTGAATTAATATTTTGAAATTACACCCCCACCTCCCTCGAAAAATAAAACCCTCCCAAGAATCATTATTATTGTTTTATAAAAATTCTTGGGAGCAAAAATTTTAATATCAAGTATCAAAACTCACACTTAAGCTTGTTGGCTCTTGACAGGACCATTTTGTTGTGATGATCTCTGAGTTTATGTATAAACCATGGGAGTATGCTCTAAATCATGCAGCAAATGAAACATTTCTTGGGGATGGTGACTTATGTACACCATCGATCACAGCTCCAATTGCTGAGAAGTTTGAGTCACATATGACTGAATATCTAAAAGATCAGGTTTGAACAAAATACTAAAATTCATATAGTTGTAATGTTACTGTTGTTTGTGTCCAGGATTTTATATATTCTGTAATTTATGAAGGATGTTTTCTGCTGCAGATCAGCTCTTATTTCTCAGATAAACTATTTATGGTTGTCCGTGAGATAACTCATCACTCAAAAGGAATGAAGAGGCCTCAGAATGCTGATGATTTGTTGCAAGTGAACCCTCAGCTAACTGGGCAGGCTCATACAGAGGGTGTTGCTTTGGAATTTATCAAACACATATGTGCTGTTTTGGCTTTGGACCAAAATGTTCAGCATGATGTACTGGTGAGACTAAACTTTCTGCAATCCAAGTGCTTTTAAATGATTATGTGTCCTGCCTCCTTTAGTTTATGTATGATTTACCCTTAAGTGAAGGCCTCATTGCGATTTTATTGTCAGCTATTGGTAGAATATGCATTATATGTGGAAACTTGTTACTGTTTGTATGATAGGTTACTGTTTGTATGATAGAATCAGTTTTTTTTACAAACATTTCAGACATTTGAGCTTGTTTTGAGACTTAGCCTTAGAATGATTCTGTAGTGTTTGTTGACTTCTGCTTTTGTTTATTCTATAAGTGGCTAGACTGTATAAAGAATTGCATTTAATTTATTTTAATGTTCATTTTAATGCTCAGTATGGTTCCTTTTGTTAATTTAATAATTTTTACGTCTTAAACATCTGAAGTCTTTTTGGATTCTGTAAGTACAGATAAGATCTGGACAAATTAAGTATAAGTTGCATTCATGCATGCATTATTCTTCCTTCTGCATACATCCTTTGTGTGGGGTTCATATTCAATAGTTGGGTACTAATATTATTCCATATCAAATAATCTTTTGTAAAATTGGAAAACCAACACAAGGTGAGGTTGCTTGAACAAAACACCTTCTGGCATATTGCTTTTGTTTAACCGCATCAGCTACAAATTTTTATTACCTGGCTTTAGCTTCAGCTTCTGCAGTATGAAAATTACTTCATTGGAGTTTCTGCCACTTTTCTATCTAATTGACAAATAAAGAAATATGTCATGCTTTTACTAGAACAGATTTTACTTTCAGATTTGCTAAATTGAATCACTGAACATTTGACTGTTATGGAATGGAAGGAACCAGGTAGCAAACTAATATAGCTATTTCATTACTGGATATTGTAAGAATATTTTGCATCTTTGCCTCTATATATATGTCCACAAGGTTCATGATAGTCATTACATGCCCTTTATTGCATGAGGTTCATGTTCTCATTGAAAAGTTTCTGTTTCAAATAGATGCATGTGTAATAATTTTTTTGTGCATTCTGCAGGTCATGAGAAGGAATTTGCTAAGATTAATACATGTGAGAGAGTTTGCTCCGGAAGCAGAATTTTTTCCTCCTCTACCATCTTTTGTATTACCAAACATTGTTTGCAGGTAAATTTACAAAGAATCCTTTTCCTTTTCCTACCCTATATCAGAAATGTAATTACTTGCTAGTAGGATGCACAATTCTAAAGCAGTTATTTTCAAACGGATTAAAAATTTGTACTGAACAGCTATTGCAATGATGTCCGAGATCTTGACCTGGGAAGGGATCCATCACTACTCACGCAGGAGTGGCGATGTTCAATGCCGCAATGCGGGCAGCCTTATGACAGAGAGAAGATGGAAAATTCTCTTCTTCAAATAGTGAGGCAGCGGGAGCGCCTTTACCACCTGCAGGACTTGGTATGTGTCAAGTGTCATATGGTGAAAGATAGTCACTTGACCGAGCAGTGTAAATGTGCCGGTGCTTTTAAGTGCCTGGAAGACACGTCAGAATTTCATAGAAAAATGCGAGTTTTCTATAAAATAGCTGTGCAACAAAATTATCAACTTCTAAGAGAATGCATCTCTTGGATTTTAGAAATTAGATGATCCAAGTTATATAATTTAACATAGTTGATAGTATAGTACATATGAAATAGTTTTTACTAGTGTTTCATAGATGTGTACATAGCTATTCATTTGTGTATAAAATATTCCGAGTATTCTTTGCTAGGCCAATGTACCATAACTCTTGATTATTCCAATTTTAAGCAGAAAGCCTTTTGCCCACTCTTTTATGGGCAAATTGTTTCAAGTATTTACAGAAGTAAACTTATAATATAACTATATTTAATTATTCTGTATATTATCGATTATTACTACTGAGTCTCAAACTATACCAAAAATGTGCAAGAGTAAACTTCAAACTACAAGTTGAATGAAGTTGTAACCTGACAGATATATGATGTGTTGGGTTAAGACAACGAATCTAATGAAAAGGGAAAGTAACTGGACTTTAAGAATGAAGCTACAAATGTATCTGCATTACGGCTCTGAATCAAATTCAACAATTTCCTGCTTATGACAATGCATCTTGTAGCAAAAATTGTCTCACTTGTCTTTTGCTTCTTCAGTCTTCGTCCAGAAAAACCATTTTTTGGTTGATGGAGTCTGAGTTGGCTCATCGGGCTTTCTCTTTTCCAGCCCCTGCTTTAAGGACTCCAATCTATTCCTGTGTATCATTCCAAAATCTAACTTATAAGCAATTTAGTTAAATTACAATAATTATTAAACAATTGTGAATTCTACTACAAAGTTTTTTTCCCGATTATTTCAATGAGGCCTATAGATCAAGTACTGAAGCCTCAAATCATAACTCAACAATGTACCATCAGATATTCTAAACTGCATTACTATATGTACATGGAGGGGGGAGGAGAGTGGGGGAGGGGGTGTTGGAATAATGGAATGGAAGCATGCATCTTTGACCATTCTAGATGAACCATAGGATCATGGATTGACTAGATTTTACCTCATGTCCGTGAGACACCCATGCAAACTCCATCTTTGACGAAATCCTTCAACACCTTCCATTCCACTGGCAAGAATCAAACGCCTGAAAATCATTTCAAAATAATTAGGTATGACAGAACGGAAAGTTTTATAGAGTAATTCAACATCACATACACCATACAGTTTGAATGGCAGCACTTTGTTTTTGCCATCCTACCGTGGAACTGTGAACATACAATGAAGCACCAACCTTTCATATTTGTCTTTGTAACCTAGAAATATTCTTCTAGATATGAAAGCTAAATGGTTTGTGCTAGTTACATACCCTTGTCATACAGCACACGCTAATGAACAGATACAATAGCATACAATAATGAAATATGTTTCCTGTGGCAACTGGAACTTGGGAAGGAATAAAGGCTTTTCTCTGGACTTGTTCTATCAGCATGTCTAAAGTACAGATGAGCTAGAATACACTAGTTAAAGATGTGTTTCTAGCGACGACTAAATTTGGGAAGAGCTTGACCTATGTGTAGAATCAGGATTCAAGGATGATTGAATAATATGCAAACCCCATTATAATATGCTAATTTGGAATAGACAACCTTTGACAACTTTTACACTTTCACAAAGTAGATGACAGATGATAACAAATACAAGAGACATATCATAAGACCAACCAATTGCGCACTGCGTACCTTTCCAGCTTAGTGACTTCTGATTCCAGTTGAACAGCTCTTTCCTTGGCTTGATCAAGTGGCATTGATAAACCTAATTTGTGCTCACTTTCTTGAAGCCTTTGCCTGATTTCCTTATCCTATTATATTGCAGGTAGGGAGCAAGATGAGTTCAGCATTAGAATTAAAAACTAAGAAACTCAGCTTATAAGTTATACTACTCCCTCTGTCATAAACCAAGTTTCTAACTGACTTTTCAAGGTCTCACAGATCAAAATTGACCATTATTGATATAGTTACACATAAAGAAAATAATATATTTATATTGAACTACTTTTGAAGATAAATTTAACACTAGTTTTTTACAATCTAATTTCTAAACAATCTTTTTGGCAATACTAAAGCATTATAGATTTCAACAAATCAATAGCCAATATTACTAAGCTCTGACAACAAAATGTAAATAGGAGCTTAAATCTCGGACAGAGAGAAACAGTAAGGAAAGGCATATATTGTGAACATCAAATCATCTTACTCTTCTTTCAGCACACTGTCGATACATAGCAATCTCATCTTGACAGAATGGCTCAATATCATTGATCTGTAAACCTACAAAAAAGGCAAATCATGACAAACAAACGCTGAGCTCTAAGTGAAATGGACATCACCATCATCTAAGAGTCAAAAAAGTTTTAATCAAATGTTTCATATTCCGTAATGTTGTTCAAGACTTCTAGTACACTTCACATAGTATGGCAATACAAGGCTTTAGAAATGACTCAGCATCAAGAAAACATCTTACACAAATATAAATTCCTCAGCAACCCATCGCATAAGTTGACACCTTCAAGTACATAAGGAGCTATCTCCGGAGGAATGATAGGTGATGGAGGCCCCGTCATTAAATCATCACCAACCAAAATAGTTTCCTCCATGGTTTCCTGTGAATCGACTGAATAGACCCAACAGAATAATCAGAAGTTAACTGCATGTCCTTTATCACAGAAGAGATCTTTGTTTTCTATATCCATTCTTATTTGTATAGCAATAATTCAATGGAAACCTTCATTTCTTACTAAAATCTATGACATGGATAAACATCTTAAGCATATCTAACCAACTATCCTCCCATATACTAATCTCAAACCAACTAGTTATAGCACATATGGAGTAAAAAGTAAAGCCATTGTAAGAAAAAGCATTCGTGCAATGCATGAGTAAGTTGAAAATTTCCACATACCATCCATGTTTGTATTCTGATCCTTTAGACTTGCTGCAAAGTAAGTGTTGAACAAGAATAAGCAGCACTAAAAACCTGAAATTCATCAAAACGCAATACAAAATAGGTAAGAAGATATATTAAAGTTGATCAAGGACATAAAACCGTAATTCAAACCCCAGAAATCAAAGACCAGAAAGAACAAAAGAACGATGAAACGGGAAAGAACCCATATTAAATATCGTAGAGGCATTTCATCAAACAGGTAATATGCATTCCGAAAAATTCAAACTTTAGTACAGCCCTTCATGATCGTGCTAAATAAGAAACTGAACATGATATTCAAATGGATGAACTTTAATCTTGCATTCACAAAGGAGTTAAAGATCAGCAGAAAATGGTTACTTCATTGTTTTCTTTATTTGAAGATGGGTTTTTTTCCTGAAGATCACAAATGTAGAGAGAGAAAGGAGAGAAATTTTACCTGAAGAAAATGGAAGTGATAAGAAATTATGGAGACACTGCAATTGAAGTTGCAGAAGCGAGGGAAGTAAGCAATTGTATAGTTGGGTACTCCCTCTTACATGTATTTTAGAAACGATTTCTAACTCCCTTGAGTACTCACAAGTCAAGAAGGATTCTCTAGCACTCTAGCCCAACCTAGCCACCTAGGGCTGTTACTAAGCCTAGCCGACTCGTGATTTATTTGAGTTCCAATTGGTTTGAGCTGAGTATATTTGAAGGTGAGTTGAAATTATATATAAAGTATTTAATGTTCCATTCTTAAAATCAATTGGTGATAAGTGGAGTAGCCCACCAGACTTATATGTTAGTCATTCTCTTATTTCTTTGATGTAAGACAATTAGTCTCAATTCACATGTGAGTTATTTTCCTAACATTCCTCTTATAATTTTATAAGATTAGTTCATTGAAATCTTCGAGGAAATGTATTGAACAAAATAGTTCAAGTCAATAGTGTAAAACACATTAACTCATTTGATTGAATGGATCATATTTATCCAATACTACCGGGGTTGGGGGAAAAAGTCAGCTTGGCAATGTCAAAAACTCAAAAATAGCAACTTGATGAATCTTTTTCTCAAACACAAACTCAACCCATGCACCAACTCAACCCTTCATGTTGCTCCCTGAGTCCCTCCTAGTTTTCTCTCTCTATCACCATCTTCCAGTACTCGCAAACCATGCTAAGAAGTAAGAACCACTATTTGCGATATTTGCAAGCAAACTTCTTAAGTTCTTATAGCTGGATATAAGTAAAGCGATTTGTAAACAAACGAATTACAAAACTCCCAGTTTGGTTACACTATACAAGATTTTTTACCATATACAAAATTTTGGTTTTTTACACAATGTTCATATGATACTATTTGCTCTTTGATGCAGGGAGAACAATCAAACATGATAACCAACCCTATCTTAATATTAAGCACGCCTATACTCGTCTCCACAATCACCAATCACTCTCAGCAGATCCTTCCCCCTGCTGGAAACATCTCGAATGCTGTCGACATCCTCCTCATCAAGTGCAAGAGAAAATACAGCATTTGCATCTTTAATATGCTCTGACAGTCCAAGTCTGACACCTATCATGGAACCTGCTACAGCTGGCTGCAATTGATCCAACAATATTGCAACATTCAGTTTCTCAAAACCAATCTTAGGATACATAGATGAAGATAATAATTTTACCTGATCTAGTATGTATTTAACAGCAACAGTCGAAATGGGCACACCATGCTTCCTGGCTATTTTGTTCAGCACTTGAAGCAAGGTTTGGAAAAGACTCCATCCTCCCCATGCATCAACCATCTGCCATATAAAACAGAAAAACAAAATGCACCCAAGTCAAAAACAAAAGAGTGGAATATGACACAACCCATGGCTGTCAGAAATAAGAACACTTTCAAAGAATAAGTTATGCATTCAATTATTAAAAACCACATCGGCAAAAAAAAAAAAAAAAAAAAGGTGGGATAATAGAAAAAAATAAAAATGTTAACTTTACTTGAATGATTAGATTGTAATGCTTCATCCAAATATATACATGTTAAACCCCAGAACACTTCCAAATGTTTGATGATAATTCACAAAATCACTCCAAATTAAAGTATGTTTACTTTCTTTCATCTCAGCCAAGTACATGATTCTCATTTCTAAAAAAATTTTGGAACACTGAAAATGAAGCTACAACAAGATTGCAGTAAGAAAATCCGTACCCTTTTGTACTTCTGCAAGGAGGGAGTATTTAGTGAAGGACCAGCAAATGGAATAGCCAAATTGGTATCAAGGAACTTCTCAGATAATAGACCACCCATAACTGTCCCATACCTGCGAAAACATAATTATATAAGAGCCTTGAAATATCTTAAGCAATTATACATTTATACAATACAATCACATGGACCTTTGGATCCAAATTGCTAGACAGGGAAAGTAAGGATATGTTTTCAAGGGGTTAAGGTTTAACGAAAAAAAAGGTGGGAGAATACGTTATGAGTTTAACTCCAGTTTGCTGACAAAGCTCTGCCATTTTCTGCTGAGGACGCATATCAACAATTGAATGTTGCACCTAGAGTAGTTCAAGCATTAATCATACTGAGTTGAAAACCCACACCTTAAAATGGAGTTGCACATAAAATGAACTACACCAACAGATCTGAGTATCTGACTTACTTGGTTGCTTACAACAGGAATCTCATTTTCAAGAATTATTCGCAACCTTTCCGTATCAAAATTTGTAAGAGCCACAGTCTTAATTTTTCCTGAAATTACACATGTAATAATTGAAATCCTTGAGACTTTTTAGGTTGCTAATATTGATGGTAAACAAAGACCTAATGGAAGCTTGCCTTCATCTTTCAGATCTGTAAGATGTTTCAACGCATCAAGATATCCAGAATTGGAATAATCCCACCTATTTCAAAGTGAAAAAGAGGTGTTCAGAAGATTGAAGTATCTAACTGCCAAGATTCAGAAAAAATGACAAGAATTTATCTGAAAACACATACTCCATATGCAAAGCAATAAGACCAGACATGTGTCTTAAATTTTACATGATTGAGCACAATTCTTAATCAACATTTTAAGGTACAGCTATGGCTGAATAAACACTTGAACCATGTTTCTCATAAAAATTTCGAATGTAATGCTTGGGATGGTCGAGCATATTAATGCTTTCGTAAATCACAATATATGCATTCAAATCCTTAAAGGTGCAGCATGGAAAAGGACAAAATCTGGAGCACCCTTACCAGTGGAATTGAAGCATGTCCAAGCAAGCAACATCCATTCTTTTCCTAGAAACATCAATGTTCCCCTCCACAAAACTCCTTGTCATCTTAACTGGTGACGGAACCCATTTCGTGAGACTACAAATGAAATCAATCAAAAGCAATATTAAAGTTTAAACCATATGATACACCAGCAAAATTACTCAATCAAATATCTGAGTTCCTCTTGAATTCAACAGTCAGACGTTTACAAGCATGCTACAATTCTTAGTCTAAGTTTGCTTCATGATTTGAAGACATAAACCAGCAAAAAAAGGGATTATTAGTTTATCACTAGTAGTCTGGAATTTTTAACTCACCCTCTGACCTTTTCTAAAACCTCAGGTGGGCGCTCACGACGGACTCGATTTATAAAGATTCCATAAAGATCTTCAGCAGGTCCATCTGAAATAAGTACAGGCATTCAAACTGAATCTCCCTATCATATTAATTTTCAAAAAATTCTTCCTTGAAATAAGGAGCAGAGAAGTATGCTTCCTCCAATGTACAGAAACTACAGACAGTATTTAAGTAATGTGCATTATAAAAATTGCATATTAGGCATGCATAACCAAGAATTAGCTATACAGCTATACAAGTTCCTATATGAATATATAATTTCTAGTTAGGTGCAAAAAAGCAAAATGTTGCATTTGTTTCCCATCTATCTTACTGCTTACAGATATCAGCCATATCAAAAGTGGCTAGCCCCGCATCAGCATATCGAAGCATAGCATCAACCGCATTGCCCCTATCGATTTTCCCCCACCCGCCACTAGTTTGCCACATTCCATTAACGACACGACACGACACATTTCCAAAGAATCCTTCCCATTCTTAACTACAACACCATCAGTTGCTACACATGAAATCGGCCTCAATTTAATGGCTCCAATACCATTTCTTGTCCTAGTTTTAGCTCTTACAGATGTGAACACCAATTTGTAGCAAGAACAAGGTAGGATTTCTGTCATTTTCTCGGCCTGTTTAGTGTTAACTATACTAAAAATGGAGGAAAGAAACAGCTGAATTTTGGTGTTTGTATCCTATATGTATCCCTCATTCAGCAGCCAACCGTTGGTTTTGACTTTTATGCCCTCCAAGTGTTCACATATTTACACAATTTAGGTGCCATTATTATATAAAAAATGAAAAGTCTAGAGGTGGCAATCAGGTTGGAATTGATTTGTCTGGTCATTTTAGAATGTATTGCAAGAAAAAAGTGTCATTATCAGACACGTAACTATTGGGTCTCGTCAAATATAGCCTGGTCACGCCAGTTTGGGTTTCAAATCAAGTATTCGTGTAATCGTACACATAATGGTTATGTTATCAATAGCAAGGTACCACCCGAGTGCCGTGCATCTACAAAGTAATACAATTTCCTCATAAATTAATAAATCAACAGAAGATAACATACGTGGCAAACAAACAATCAAGGAAAATCTTAAATGAATGCATGTTAATTAGAAATACAGAGGATAGTTTTTTGCCAAGTGGTCTAAGCCATGACCAGTAAAATTCAATGGCAAAAGCGAAATTAAACCATAAAAATAGGGGTAAAGAAGGTACAGTGATCAGCCATGTCAAAAGTGGAAAGGCCAGCATCAGTATAACGAAGCATGGCTTCAACGGCGTCGTTTCGGTCGATACGTCCCCAACCACCACTGGTCTGCCACATTCCGTTCAAAACTCGGCATATCTCCACCGAATCGTTGCCGTTACTCACCCTGATATGGCGTTTCTCCGTCGCCACCTCCGCCGTGGATTCGCACCTGACTGAGCTCCGGCCGAGTGACGGCGAGTTACGCCGAATTGGGGTGGTGAATTTGATGGGTTTAAGAGGATTTAGATGAAGAAATGTTGACATGTTTTCTATTTCTCGGTGTAGAGTTGAGACTACAGACTAGTGAGACGTGGTGTCACTGGTGTTATTGGAAGGATAAGGATGTCGCTAGTATTCCCCTGTCTCATTGTTCGGGTAAAAACGAATTTTGAGGGCTCGTTTGTTTGACATAAAAAAAATATGGGAAGTGAAACTTTTTAGAAATTGTAAGTTTTATGTGTTATTTGCTTGACAAAAATTTGGTGAAATAGGAGAAGTAGAATTTCTTAGGAATTTTGAGTTCTCACAAAATGTAGGAACTTACTTACTTAACCCCCGATAAGTAGAAATTCCCATGGAAAGTTATTTCTCTCATTGTTAACCAAACAATTTTAGGAAATTCCCATGAATGTGATAATAGGAATTTAATTCCCATAAATTTGCAATGCATGGGAAGTTTTAATTCCCATGTGAACCAAACAACACCTTAATTTTTCGAGTATAGCTGGGAAGAATTGACGAGAGTGAGTAAAATTGTGGTTTCTACCATTCAAAGTAGTCTGGAAAAATAAGGGACAAGATAAAAATAAATAAAAAGAATTGAGACAAAAGGAGTATTTCGTAATTGTCATCTCATTCAAAACTTATGTATTTAGTACAACTAATTTAAAATATGGAAAATGTTATACATAACCCATAAAGTAAGGAGTTAAAAAAATAAAATAAAATAAAAATAAAAATATCACATTAATTACACTAAAGAGTTAAAAATGGGAAAATGTTATACATAACCCTTAACCCTTAAGGCCACATGTAAGGAGCATGATTTTGTCACTCATTCTTAAATTAATACCAAATTAAGAAAGATATTAGCTTTTTTTTTTTAAAAAAAAAAAATAAAAAAAAATATTAGCTTAATCCTAAGGGGGTACATATAACATTACTCTAAAAATATTTATATCGTTCTTATAGTATTTTTAATGTTGTTTTCATAAAGAGTTTTATACGTTTCCTTAACCGCATATAGTTTCTATCTTATTTGATTTATTTTTATTTATCTCTCTTAATCACGTGATTTGATTTTCATCATTTCGTTCTTAATAAAAATGTGATGATAATTTGAGAGTTAAATTTTGCATGTACGGAGTTAAAGTAGAGAGACATACAAATTACGCAATGTATAATTATAAAATGGATAATTGCATTGCATTTGTTATTTTTAATTGATTACATCTAGTGATCTTCACGACATTATTTTAACTACATACAAATACAATCACTCTTTGGTTACTACATTGTTTACATATCATGCAAACTTTGGCAAAATATAGTTAAGAATATACAAGAAGAAATACACGACTAACTCTTCCAAGTACATCACATCTTGGAATTTGGAGAAGCTTATATCCTCCTTTACTTCTTTAGTTTGTTCTTGAGTCTGATAATCTTACGCTCCATCTGTATAAAAAATATTATTGATTAAGTATAACTCAAAGTTAGAAATAAAATTTATTTTCCATAGAAATAAGAAATTCATGAATTTATTATTAATAACAAATATGAGCAATTACAGTACATTTCTAACCTCATAAAATATGTACTTGTACATAATTAGTAATTTAGTATGACAAACCTGAACAAATGTGTCCAATTTCTCCTTTGTATAATAATATTCCATCTTAATCCACTTCAATCCTTGAGATAAACTATGATGTTTTCAAAATTAAAACATTAAGTTTGTCTTAATAAAATTTAAGGAAGTTAAGATGAACTAATGTTGCATATAAATTTGGTTTATACGCAAAAAATACAAATTGTTGGATCCAACAACATTTGTATATCTATTTCGATACACAAAAGTGTTTTTTTGTTTAATTAAAGTAAGTTATATATATATATATATATATATATATATATATATATATATATATATATATATATATATATATATATACCAAATACGTAAAATAGCCCGTATAACATGCATGATGTTTATATTATATATATAATAATTAAAAAAATATATTCCATAGTAGATTAGGTTAGATATATATATATATATATATATATATATATATATATATATATATATATATATATATATATTATATATATATATATTGATCAAATCATCCCATATTGGACCATTTATTTGAATTATGTACAAATAATACAATCATGAATTAGTTCAACTTTTACTAGATGAATTTTTTATGAATCGATTTACTTACCTTTCCTTATCCGTATCTTCACAAGTAAGTTGAGCACAAGCAAGTCTTACATACTCCGCCCCAATCCTATTGTTTCAGATAAAAATAAGAATTACAACGTTAATAAAAAAACATACAATATTATTTTAATACGGACAAGAGTGAATTAATGCTTAATTTGCTAAGAAAACATACCTTAAGCTTTTCTCTTCCATGATTTGGGCATGTTTGGCTATTTTAGGATAATCAACATTATTAGAGGCACTGCACATAATTCATGTGTGACATGAAACAATTGATCATCAAAAAAATTAGGGGACAATGAACAGATACATTAATTTTGAAAGTGTGAAATAAAATCATCTTTCTCATATCAAGAGAGAAATAACGTTACGTGAATTCTATTGCATCTTATAAGAGAGCTTCCATGTCATTGTAATAAGTATAAATTTGCTCAACTATGAACTCTGATTCTAATTGTGCAACTTTCTCACAAAAATTGTTACTTAAAACGCCCTGCATACGACAATCATCCTTATTAGTTCCAAATAAAATAAAAAGCGTTATATATAACCACACGTGTATAGTAGATCTAAGATTGTTGGAAATCAAACACTAATTTGATCTAACACGATCGATATACTTAGATGTTCCTATCATGTGGCTACCTCTTTTAGCAATGACTTCAGATAGTCTTGAAGCAATTCTTGAACGATAGCCAAAGCCATACTATATACTTCCAGATTATTGGTGAAATTATAACAACTTATTATTAGCAATTTTGCAAATACATGAGATAGAGCCTAGAAAATATTTTTTGTAGGCATTGTAGAGATATGAATATGATTATATGACAACTAAAGAACATATACTGCATCAGATAACAGCTTGATTACAAACGTAAAATAGAATCAGAAATGCTCTCAAGAATAATGCTCTAAAAAATTCATTTAAGGAAACGTATATTGGTTTTGATTTAGACTCCAAAATAAATGTGGAGGATCCAAAGTGATACTAAAATTATTTTCAGTTTGTCACAGTGGGCGCCAAAATAGTTATGATCATAAAGTTTATGGACACACGTTAGAAATTCCATTCATCTTATTAATACTTTAACCACAATCCACCCCTAAAATCACTGAAATATTGCTAGTTTTCTCATTGAGTTAAGGAAGTAACAGTAATCTTAGCCAATGCAAGGAAAATGTTCCAGCTCATATAAAAGTAAATTTAATGTGAGTTTCTTGTGTCAATCTCGACCCTTATGTTAAGAATTGAATACAATAAATAAGGATCCATCCTTATAATAACTTTTGAACTATTTTTCTATCTCCTCTCTTATCTCATCACTTATTTACGATATCCTATAAATTATTAAGTACTATATAAGAAAATATAATAATTTTGAACCCGAACATACTTAAAATAGTGTATGCAACAAATAATTAGAATTACTAGGGAGGCGTTAATGCGTTATACTGTATTTTTTATAAGGTCTAAAAAATCTAAATATACGAGCAGGTTCACCTAATTACTGTTGACTTAGATACCAAAGAATTTGAGGCCTAATTTCAGGTCATGACCCAAACTATTACCTCGTACTAAAATTTGAATCTATTTTGAAAATTTTGTGACTGCAACTAAAACTTAATTAAACTACGTAAAAGCTAACATTCAAGGTGCCTTACATTGCAACAATACTACTGACTTATTAAATTTTAAATAAGTATAACAGTGATTAATCACCATTAGTATGTTGTACACATAGTATAATGTGGAGAATTACCAGAAAATGAGTACAAAGTATAATTAACTAATTTTAGTATGACTTTGGCCTAACAAATTTGGCCTAATATTAGATAAACTCCTTAACCAAGTTGGTACACTCCCAATCTCCCATTAGAGTGTTACTTCAACTCGAACAAGCGTCATTGTTCGTAGCAAGCTAATACGGAGTATTAAAGATGTCTATAAAAGGAAACATAGAGGAACATCCTTAAAACACACTTCAAAACTAGAGTATTCATTTAGAAGAACACAATCCAAGAGAATGAAGGGAGTGACTTTGGTCATAGTAGTTGTCTTCATCCTT